GACGGGGACGGGGACGGGGACAGGCCCGGGTACGGGCACTTGCTTGATCGTTGCATAGGAAAAATAATACAAGATAACGTATACACACAGATTACGTATACGCCGCTCATAAAACGGTCGTCGCACACGAAAATTGCGACGTAATAAATTTTGTTTTGGCCATGGCACAAGCCCCGCAACCCCGCAACCGTACCGTACCGTAGACCGGACCCAAACCCAAACCCAAACCCAAAGCCAAAGCCCAAAAACCCAAGAGGGGCTGTCGTGTGTGGGATGTAAATTCTGAAAAATGTATAGAATACTCATAGGAGTACATAGTATTTCCTTAGCCATGAGAATGGAGGGCGTGCGACAAAGAATTATTATTATTTAAATATGCATTCATAATTTGTTAATTGACTGGGAATCGAGCGACTATAGGCTACAGTTGGTGGCAGGACTGCGACTATATGATGAGGCTGAACGGAATAATCACGTGGTTATGGCATTAAGAGAAACAAATTGCCTTCTAGATCGAATATACATATCTAGTTCTACGGCACCAGCGAATTCTGCCACAGAGAGTGGCGGTGAATGGTATAAGCACCACATGCATGTCGTGTGCATGACTTTAGTCTCGCTGATAAGGGTTTATTGTGGTTGTTGGGAGTGCCCTCTGCTCTTCTAGCTCAGAACTATGCATAGTCGGGTACTCATCATCTTGCGGGATACGTTTCCTTCGAATTCTTAGTGCCTCCCATTTCCATGTGGCAAATTTGATGGCCAATCTTTGGCCATACAGCATATACAGCATATGGCAACGATATTCGAATGATCTGTTATTAATTAAGAGTATGAGTAATTTGAATAATGGCGCCACCGCCAAATGCCTCTTCCCCCGTAGCAGAAGTGACACGAACACGTGCTTGTCAATTCTCTAACGATTTTGCCTGCTTGTGGCCCATTGTGTGGCATGCACTTGTGCAAATGAATGCATATAAATATACTACTATCGTATGTACTGTTGTTGGAGTGTACTTTCGTATATTAATTTGAGTCAGCCAATGTTTAATTAGCAGAACAGCCTGTGGACTGTTCGGACTGTTCTATCGTTCGGCGGGAGGGGGCTGACATCTGACATCTGCGTTTTCAATTGCGTAAACTGAATGTGCAAACAAATTGCAAACAAACAAGTGCGAGAAAGTGGCAGAATGCCATCCGCCGTAGAAGAATCCCCCGTCCGCAGTGACGCACTCGCACAAAAAACAGATCTCCGCCATCGTAATCGTTATCGGCAGCCCGAGAGAACACTTGTCCGGGCATTGTGTTACACGGGTGTCCATAATCCGTAGTCCGTAATCCGTTGACCGTTAACCGTAATATTCTCATGTGACACATCTGGGTTTCGCTTCCAGCTGTGATAGTTATTTTCGTTAATTTTCGACTTAGAATGCTAATTGAAAAACACACGAGTGTTTATTTTGTGTCAACAAAAACAGCACATTGGTGCCGTGGCGCCCCAATCCGCTCTATAAAGATCGCGGCTATTCGATCCAGGCGCATCAGTAAGCCCAGTGAAGGGAGTGTATATCCATCCTGATTCCCCTTAAGGCACTGCCCTCCGTTTCCCTTCGTAGTTCTTCCCTAAGGTTTCCGTTCCCGAAACAATTAAACAATCAATTAAATGCAAGTGCAAATTCCATAAGCAATCAACAGAGTAACAAAACTGTGACTTATCGCATTTTTGTTGTTGTTTTAATTGCATTTCCTGGCGACGCAAGGACACGGCACATGCCGTAAGCCATAATTGGCGGGGGGACACACTTGAAAGGAATTTTAATTCGGCATTGAATGACATTGCCTAATGCATAGGCGAACGGTCACACGCGTGGAACTTGTCTGTGGCGGCAGTTTGGGGCATGATCTCTCTTAGTCATGATCACGATGAGTATGCTTTAAAATGTTATGAAAGCCGATAAGAAATTGGATTTTTGAACGCGTACATCCCATGGGAGATGGCAGAGAGAGATTGGTTCTACGTGCATGCATATGCGGGTGAGAGATTCCACACTGTAACTGTAAAACAATTAGCGGAACATCAAGGCACACCAATGGAGCTGGTGGTTGATTTTATGGCGCGTTTGATAATGATTGGAGAGGGGGGGAACTCTGGCTCTGGGGCCTCAACGAAGGTTGACTTAATGCAAGGCCAAAGAATAATACCTGTATGTACGGTATACATTATCTATGTGGAGGAGATATCTACTACTCGGCCCAGTCATCGTGCGATAATAATTGCGAATGTCACAAACGACAAACAATAACCAAAAAGGAATCGGAACATGAAAAGGCCTTTGATTGGCTTTCGCATACATGCATAAAAGTAAATAATTGATCGTGAGAAGCATAGGCATGCGGCATAGATATACAGAGAGATAGAGCGAGAGAGAGAGAGGGAGGGAGAGGGAGAACGCACGTGTGAGTGAGTCATGTGAATGTTCTCGTGAGGGGATTTTCTGCACTATCATGATGACAGATCAGGAAAGCAATACGATATGGATAATATGTTGTTTTTTTTGTTGCTTTACTCTCTCTCTCTCTCTCACTCATTTGGCACGATTTGTTTCATTCCAATGCTTTCGCACCTGCTGTGACGTCACCGCAGTTTTGCATTCAATGGTGAAATAGTTGAAGGCAACTTCTCGATCAATTTACCGTTTATCTTTATCAAGCCACACACCCACACCCAATCCCATGCCCTATTGTTCCATCCCATTCCATTCCATTCCATTCCAGAAAGAGGGGTAATGCCGGCTGCGTGTGAGCAATCTGTGACGTCACACCAGCCACATATGTATGAAATTAAATGAGTGAAAACTAAGATATACCAATGCCATGATGACTCGGCAAATCGGAAAAGTGGGTGGTCACGGCATGCGCCAGAACCTTCCAAAATAGAAAATACTGGGAAATGAGCAGCAGAAGCAGTGTTTTAATGCCATGCATATATAATCATATGTACATTTTGATAGTGTGTGCGTGTGAGGGGGGCAAAATCGAATGTCAAGGTTAGGTGCCGCGCGGACACAAGCCGAACAGCAACAATACAAAAATCAACAAAATCGAATAGCCGCGTAATTACAGCAACAACAAAAAAAAAATAGAGAATCAATAAAATAGCCCTTGCCTCGGGCTCCTAATTACGCATTTACACACAAAAACACACACACACACACACAGAGAAGAAACAAAAAACTTAGCCACCAAAAAACAATTATCTAGTCGCCAGGCCCCGGCACCGACTTCAGGCCAAGGCCATGCCCCAAACCAACCAAATCATTATAAAACTTGTCGTCCAGTCGATGGTTCCCAGCCACACACACTCATTATTATTATTGAGCACAAGACAGAGGCAGCCAAGCCGAATGATCTGTTACCCTTCCAGAACCATCTGTCCCTGGGGGGGTTTAGTGCTATCTTTGGGTTATCTTTATAGAAAAAAAAACCCGATCATATGACAGCTTTTGATAGGCGATACGATATTTGGCAGTTCGTCATATCTGCACGTAGCAGATTAAAGATCTTTCATTCCCACCCAAAACAGTGTTACCCTCTAATATTAGCATAGGGTATTCGACAATAACAGTAACACTATACTTACCGGCAAAATGCGATGAGGGAAAAGTGTATGTAAGAAACACACAGACACACACACACTGACGCGTGCGCTCCAATAGGAAATAAATAAAACCGTTTGTTGGTGGCCTCTGTGTCTCTCAGCTGTTGCTCTGGGCGACGTCGACGCTGGCTGGCGTCAAATCGGAAAAACTAGCGGCACAAACAAAAATGACCTCGTTCCGTTGCTGCTGCTGCTTCTGATGATTTGTTGTTGCAATTGGCGGGGATTGTGTAACGACCACCCCCCCAATAGAATGGTCAGAAATTGCCGAATTTCCCGCTGTTTTTCTTTTGTTTTGTGTGTTTGTGGTTTGGTTTGGTTTCTCTTTTGTTGCAGTTCACAATTTGTTAATTACGAACCTATGTATGCATGTACATATGTATTGTGGCATGTGTTGTGTGGGCTTGTCAGAACGCTTCTACCAATCTTTAAATATATGTATATTTTCACAAATTATTTAAAAAAAAATATGAACAAGAAAATAAAAAAATAATGTGCAGGTCGCGTGATTTGTTGTCTTTTTTTGTTTTTTGTTTTGTGAGTGAAGGTGATACGCTCTCCGGTGTCTACGGTCGAGAGCCTCCCGTTACAGCTGCGACTGCGACGTCAGCTGCTTACTCTGCTCCCCTCGTGTCGTCGTGTAAACAGATATGCAGTTTCCCACACAAAAATGTTGTTAATAATAGAATACAGATTCTACCGGAACCACCACAGGAGCGGCGGCGGAGACTGATGCAAAACGTGCTCCGTCACAGTCCCCCCCCTCACGAACACTGATAGGCGGGTGGAATGGTGCGGGGAGGAACAGTAGAAGTGCCTCTTTTTTTTTAATTAGAAGACGCGGAGCGGTGCGGTGTGCATGTGGAAATGGCGTGAGTTGAGTGTATGGGTTGAAGTGAGTGTGGGTGAGGTGGAGTGGGGTGTGTGGGGAGGGCCGTATGTGCCAAATGCTTACGGCCGCAAAAGTATTTCACAATAATTCCACTCGAATGCACACTGTTTACTGGTTCTTTTACACGATCTACTACCGACGGATTAATGTATATTACGTTTGATGTTATAATTGTTCTGGATGGGACTGCTGCTGTCAGCGTTGGTACCGCAACGAGATATTAACACAAACGAATTCCAAAAACAATAAAACGCTACACTTAACTGCGCGGCTATTTATGTAAAAAAAGTTGTACATGTTATCGTCACGTTGTGCCCCCGCAACCATTGGCAACCCTATCAGCTGGAGTTGCCACCTTCCCCCACTTCCCTGTCGAGGCCCTGGCCACACTGCTCACCATATGTTTTTTTGACGCAAGTGTTGAAAAATATCCCACCCACGCTTAGTAAATTTTATGGCCGAGAAATGCATTTTAATAAAAAAAACTTCAATTAATTATACATGGTCAGATGGTATTATCATTTTCAAACCTGCAAGTACAGGACTGCTTTTTCGGTGAGGATAGTAATCACATTTCTGGCTGTGGAGAGGCCCAGTATTTCCCCCACCTCGTCGCTGATGGAGACCATATGCTGTTTCCCAATAACCACCTGTGGACCGTTGCGCTTTCGCAGCCCTCCTGCCGAGTCGTAGCGTGATTTGTAGATAAGCACGTGGCGGAGTCCCTCGCAGATCACAGCGTAGTCTAGGTCGGGGCAGCAGTCTGTGAACTTGCGTTGCTCCTTGGACGCCTGCACATATGCGAAGGCGTGCAGATTTCCCTCATGGCGCACGGTCCACTCGGTCGGCTTGGCCGGCTGGAACACCTGCAGCCACAACGAGGCATCTACGCCCTGCCTTGTGGCAAAGGCGGCCGGAAAGCCGGCACGCAGCGACGTTGTAAAGAGTGGCGGCGTCGATCCCAAGAAAATTGTGTGGGTTATCTCTCTGGCTTCCAAATTAAAGCGCACTGTCATGGAGGGGGGGCACTGATTAGCATAGTCATTCGGCAAGAACCCTTCGGCTTACCCAGCTTAACGTCTACATCGGGAAGTCCTAAGTCGCAGTCCTCGATGGGATCCTCCAGATTTGGTATCGGCAGCGAGCGATCTGGTAGTGGGTCTACATTCGCCTCGCCCTCTGGAGGGGCGCTCTCATCGTCCGAGAGCAGATGTGGCCAGCTCTGCTGCAGCTCCTTGACCAGCGTCAACTGTAAGGAATCGGCCTCTATCGTCCAGGTGGTCAGGTCACTGTCTACGTTGGCATAGAGTGCTCCAGTCAAGAGAATCTCTGCCAGGCACTCCACCTCCAATTGATGGCTGGTGCTGCGAATGTTGAAATCATTGCGCGTGGCCCCTGCGGGCAGGCGGAAGCGGATCAGCACATCCTCGTCTGTCTGCGTCCAGGTGTATGGTGGGGTAGCCGCAATTTCCACATCCTCGCCATTCTGTGCGGCTGGCTGCGCTGCAGCGGAGACTGCGGCTGCACGTTGGGATTTTGTCAGCAGGTCGCGATTGGTGGAGAAGACCACGGATTCGGCACGCGGCTCAAAGGCACAATAGTAGATGGATCCAGGCGTGTCTAGCTCCTCGCGAACACTGTACGACCACGCGTCGCTGGGCATTGGCTGTTGTGTCCAGCAGCCCCAGGTTAGGTCCATGAAGAATGTATCGGCATGATCGGAACGCGGCGACACCCGACGTCCCACATGGCCGGCCAGCAGGGAAATCTGTTTGCGCTCCTGGATAACGTCCAGGCGAGCATCGTACAACACAAAGCCACGATTAGCGCTCTCCTGGTTAATCTGCGTACTGGTGAGTAGCTGCCAGGACGCGGTGGAGCTGGCCCGCGAACGATCGCCGGTGTCGAAGAGATAATACATTGTAATGCCATCGCAAAGCACGCAGTACTTTTCCGAGACGAAGCGCAGCGTGTAGTTGTAGGCTCCGCCCGACTGCTGGTAGCCATCGCCACGATCCTTCTCTTCCACGGTGTGGACCACCCGCTGCTGGCGCGGCCTCCCATCCTGGCCATCGTATGAGCACAGGACAACCTGCCGGCTCTTGTTTACGTAGTAGCAGTTCTCGCGCAGCCAGGGATCGGGGCAGAGCATGTTGTGCCTGCCAAAGGCCTCTGCGTGCAGAAGCGAGTACTGATCGGAGTGTGGCAGCAGCTTGAGCGGTGGCGTGGCCAGGAGGTCCTGCTGGATGACCGGCACCGGGTCGAACGAGAGCTTGTAGCCATCGAAGTTGGGGCAGAGAAGGCTCCGGTCAACTCTTAGATCCACCACCGGCATGTTTACAACGGTATCAGCGCACACTGACTTTGATTGCTGCGAGCAATTGAAATTCAGAAATAAACAAACAAAATAGCACGTCACTGAGCCAACATTGTTGAGAAGCGCCGAAAAGCACCACTAAAATACCAAATACGATTCTCTTGTGGTATTTTTCAGAGCCAAATCAGCTGTTCTGCCAGGGCTGCACAGTACATACGTGTTCCCCAGTGCTGGTAAGGCTGCGCCAAAAAGAGTGTTGACACGTGTCAGAACATTTTAGTGTTTTCATCTCACTCTTATTTTTTTAGCATTTAACAATTGGCAAACAAACGACGTAAGTAGCAGAAAATCATTCGGTGGGAAAAACTAGCAGGTAAAATCGAATGAATAAGCGGAAAATCAGTAAACCTGGTACTCACCCATCGTTTTTCGTGTATTTTTTTGCAGTTGCTGTCTCCCGCTTACGGCAAGCAAGCGCCAACGAACCCCATCAATATTCACGAGAAGTACGGACCTGACCCCGCCAGCTGCTTCGTGGCAGCGGACGAGAACTGTGCCCAACCCGAGAATACTGACGCATAGCAGCGTTAACGCTTAGACTACGTTTAGTTCCAGCCAGCGGCATACCAAATAGCAGCAAACAGCAGCCAGTATGATGGGCAGTACGAGATACACACAGACCGCCGACAAGTTGGTGCTGGCCTTGCTCGCCGCCGCCGCCCTTCTGCAGTGTGCTGCCGGGGTGGAGTTCACCTTCGATTTGGCCGACAATGCGGAGGACTGCTTCTACGAGGAGATCAAGCGCAATACCAGCGCCTATTTCGAATTCCAGGTGTCGGCCGGCGGGCAGCTGGATGTGGATGTCCATCTGAAGGATCCACAGGGCAAAGTCATTTACAAGCTGGAGCGTGCCACCTTCGATAGTCACCAGTTTGTGGCCGAGACAACGGGCGTATACACGGCCTGCTTTGGCAACCAGTTCTCAGCCTTTTCACACAAAATCGTCTACGTGGACTTCCAGGTGGGCGACGAACCAGCCCTACCCGGCGTCGATGAGCATGCCACGGTCCTCACCCAGATGGAGACCTCGTCGCAGGCGATACACAAGGGACTCAACGACATACTCGATGCGCAGACGCATCATCGATTGCGCGAGGCGCAGGGCCGCAAGCGAGCCGAGGATCTCAACCAGCGCGTCATGGTCTGGTCATCTCTGGAGACGGCGGCCGTTGTCCTGATCGGCATCACCCAGATTATGGTGCTGCGCAACTTCTTTACGGACCGCAAGCCCAGCCAGGCGCACTACGGCCGCCTGTAAGAGACGGGCCTCCATCAAAAGACGGGGCGCACGGCGAGCGCCGGCACGGTCAACGCCTAGCCAGGAGCGAGGAGGAGTGTGAGCTGAGGGCTGTGAGTGCATCATCCAAGAGTGCATCATAAAATAACCATTTCTCTCAATTTAAATTCTTGCGATAAGTGCTCTCGTTGCCTTGGCGCCTTATCCACAAATGTATCCATTATCCATTCCTTTTGGGCCTTTCTTCTGCTTTTGCGTGGTGCAGCCCTGCCCCCCGTTCACCGTACACTGAATCGCAACGACATGTAATAGTTTTTGTTGTTTGTCCCCCACCCGGAAACAGAATGTTTTTTTTTAAATATATGCAATCCACAATTCGATAGCAAAAAGAGGATAACGTTTGTTTTACTGGGGGAGTACTGTTCCGTTCCTCGCTCTTCCCTCTCTCTCCCTCCCAGTAGAGGCTGTCGTGGCCTTCGATGTCTCCACTCCAAAGATAACCACATCAATGGGTAACGGGACAAAACAGCTGTGTCAATAGTGTACCGCTGAGCGTGTCGTGTGCGTGGGAGAGAACAAGAGCTGTTATATGGAATTGGATCGCACACGTGCGTACATTCGATAGTCGATAAAAATAGTATCTGTTCGTATATTATAATCAAATCTATCTCTATTTCATAATATCTCAATCATTCAGATACAATATATCCCAAAATATGTCTGGGACAATGTGGAACCACTCCAATGATCGCCACTGCCGCAAGTTTGCTATCGGTATCGGAATAAGCGCAATAACGCTGAATAGGCGCTTACATTGGGAAGCACAGGATCTGATTTGAGTGTTTGATGACGAGGAAAACAACCGAATTAGAAAACCAAACCAGGAAAATGGACCAAACAGACTTGCTTTTATTTATTATTATTATTATTATTTTTATTATTTATTATTTATTATTATTTATTATTTATTTGTTATTTTTAGCCATTTCTTTGTAGATGTGGGAGTTGTTCCTCACACCATGACAACCGAACCCTCCTATCATATATCCAGTAGTGTCTTTTCTTACAAATCGTTCCAATACTTGTAGCAAGTAATTTAAAAGGGTACTAAAGCTGTGCAATAATTTATTTTGATTTATTTAAAACGCAAGCTACTGAACCAATACAAAATCAATAATAATTTCACGGCTTATTCCCATGGTAAACCATGGAATACCATCATTCAAATTGCAAATAAATATTCGTAATTTGTGATAATACCAGTATTAATGCATTAATCTTGCAAGGATATGGTTATCTTATCAGAGATCGCGTGTCTGGAAGTTTCTATAGAGCTGCGGGGCGTCTGGTCGGTCTCTAGGTTTTTCGATGACATACATATGTACATATGTACGTGTATATGATTCATATATGCACAAGTTTATAGACATTTATGTATAGGTTTCCACAATCTTAAATCATTATGAATGTAATTATTATTTGATTGATAGCTTATTGATAATATTCAATCGCGGTGGACTGGTGCGTTTGAGAACAATTATTTAAAACGGCACGGCTCGGTCTCGACTGATTTCGGCTGTTACTACTAAATATCACGTCGGTTTCTCCTTTTACGAATGTTCTCTGGTGCTCACCTTCTCTGACGTGGTGCTTCTTCTCTGCAGTGCTTTCCTTCCCTGCTGTTGATCTCTTTATGCTCATGACCCAATTATACAAGGTGGTCCGCTCCCGCAACGCGCTCTCTTTTCGGGCCTTATTTGGCTCAGTACAGCCAAAGACTTTACAATATTGTATAGTCTTTGGTACAGCTCTCATCAATCATGGCGTCAGGGCGGTCTCAGTAGTGCTGAGACCCGAAAGAGAGCGCCTCGCTGGACCGGTGGTCCTTGTATAATGTTTTCCGTCGCTCCCACTGCTGCTTCTGCAAAGGGCCACTCCTTCTTATATGTATGTATGGGAGTGTGCCTGTATGCTAATGATATTGCGAAACTATGACAGTTTCGGGGTTACTAAACGATGATAATTACGCAAGCAATCAATTTTGCCTATATTAGGCAAAAATATGTTGAACGATAAATCCATGCGGCAGTTGCGCTAACAGCTGTTCCACACGCAATAAATCTTATTAACTGTTTTAGGGGCTGTCGATCTTTTATTGTTGATCTTCTTTGATTGACTTTTTGGTATTTCGCACACAATTCGCACGCAGATCTTTTGTCAATGGATTGCCATACAGAAAACAAACAGACAAGACACGAACTCGGATACGATACAAAAACACGATGCCGCATTATAGTATTTAAATTGGGCTCAAAACAAAAAATCGTTTCATTGTCACCGACAAAACAATGAAATATATTAAAACTCACACGAACACCTTAACTGATTTAAAATTCAGAATCCCAAAAGATCAATATGATTAGCTATGGAGACTTTTCTAGATAGTAACTTGCATTAAATCAGTACTAATTTATGGTGCACACATCAGTCTTTCATCAATGCTGGCGCTCCGTCGAAAATGTGTATTTTGTGGGGTTATTCCCCTCCCTCTTTTCGTACGAATATCAACAAAATGAAGGCCTGAAGAGCCCAAGAGCCAGCCAAGTGAAAGGCAAAGTGCCAGCACAGTAGCTGAAGGACACTTGTAAACGAATTGTCAGCAGAGCAGAGTTTTGTCGGGTCAAACGATCGATTTTTCGATCCATCGTGAGATTGATTGGTGTCAAAACTGGGCCAATCAAACGTTGCATGGAAATAATTATTGTAATTATACTTACTTACCCTGGCTTGCACGTGTCCAGGCGGCCAACGAGGTCAGAGTTCAGGCGGACGGAAGCAACCCCATTAAACCGTAATCAACTCTGTCGCATGGACACGGAACCAGAGGTTTTCCTCGATTACCAAATCAGTTTCAGTTTCAGTTTAGGCCCGGATCAATGATGATGGCAATCAATGACAGTCGAATCGACTGTGTTAAGCTCCCCCCCCCTCAAAAACAAGCAGCTTGAACACGCCTCAAACTTCCTACTTCCCTCCATCTGTCTTCTCCCTCTCCATGCCCCTTCATGCACCTCCATGCCCCTCTTCCACGCTGGCAGTGGTCGGTCGTCGCTCTGGCTGCCCCGGTCGCTTTCGCTGTCGATCCGTAGACCATACGATCCATGTTTTATGTATCAATTAGTGGTCCGACGGATGACTCTAGCTCATCCGTCACTTGGCTTGTAGATCGGTATTGGGCGCTGCGAGAGCGGCTCCATAAGTCTTAGCAACATAAGGGCATCAAGCTAGTGGCTAGCGCTTGGAGAGCGGCTCTTCAGCTCAGACTCTCGAATTATATTAGTTGTGATAACTCTTAGGTCGTCCCCCGTGACACGAGCATTTCTATAATCATTTTTGTTTCCCTTTTCGTTTTCGTTTTCATTGTCGTTTTGTTGGTCTGGTGTTATGTGCTTTTGTTGGTTTTCATCAGTCTCTGCAGCTTTGCCAAATATTTGGACGGAGGGGGCTTTTGTGGCTGCTACCCCCAGACCTCAGCCCCCAGCCCCCAGCCCAGAGATCCTCTAGCCTCCAGCCCTTGGATATGGCACAAATTTAATATTGATAAATATCTCAACAATATGCATAAACAATAAGTATGTAAATCGACCCTCCGATGGCCCTCTAATGGGAGGCGATGTTTGTTAATGTGAATATATTCATTTCCAGAAAGAGAGCGAGAGCGAGAGAGAGGGAGATTAGTTGGGGAGAAATTAAATAATTAACAAGGCAGGGAATATGCATATCAAATTTCGTGGGTCTTATGCCAACCAACTGCAAGACACCTTAAGCCCCCAGAGCATAAATACATAAATAATTTAAATTGGGCAAATTTGTATTGGCCCAAAGAATCGACTTTTGGGATGGGCTGCAGCTGCAGGCGACGCAAATGTGTTGCACAACTCTGAGAGAATTTCAATCCGTAATACATGAAAAGCTAAAAACAAAAACCAATCAATTAATCCATACACTAACAGCTTGTTATTATTACTTGCTGTTTATTGTATGGCTTGGGTATTTTTCATTATCGTCTATTCATTAATAACATTCGAATCAATTTAATAGTGGTGTGCCATCAAAATGATTAGATCATATTTCAACAATTTGAAAACTGATCTTTTTCAATGAATATCTCAAATCAGTTGTAATTGTAGTAAAGTAACAATAATAATAATTGACTTATTTACTCTCACACAGAGTAGCTTTGCAGTAAATCTCTCACGCTCACGACTCCTAGTGAGAGTCGCACTCGAGTAAATAACCCAACTATTCCGTCGTTAAACATCGGATAAGTATATGTAGACGACTGAGTACTATACTCATGACTCTTGAACTCATTCGCTCATTACGTATCCTGCCTTCAGTCAGATTTGGATCCCCCCGAGTCACTACAAAACTGAACCGAGTGCGAGCACAGCGGATTGGTTTGCATACCTCTGAAAAGACTCGAAGCATGACACAGAGTTCATGCCTTCGGCTTGAACCGTTCTAGCCTTCGGCTATGCCCATTGGGATACAGTCCGTTTTACGGCAAGGAGTCGATGAAAAATCTGAGACGCTGATCGAACCAAGCGAATACCGAATCTGGCTCGAATCGGAATCGATTCGGTTGCCTGTTCAGGCGGGGCTCTAATTTGCAGTTCAATAGCCAGCTGCTTTGCAAATCAAAATAAACCTTAATGTTATTGAATCCAGAAGAATAGTTATTACAATAAACTTTAAGTCGGAATGATATGTGGGCTATGTACTACGAGTGTAAATACCATATATGTATATCTGATCAATACTTAAGGGAGTATTCGTATTTGTCTGACTCTAATTTAGGGAAATATCCAGCTGGCTGACACTGGCTGGCTTATACTCATCGCGCATTTGTTTGAAGATAACAATGATGGCTTCCGCGGTGAAGACCTTATACTTTAGTGCAAATCCTTCAGGTAATCCGTGTACGGCAATGGAAGATAGGGCTCGGAAGCCCTGCCCGTAGCTGGTGTTGTCCCCGTCTCGATTTATGCCGCTCTTCGCGAAGGTTTTGTTTGAGTCCTCAGTATCCTATAGGAACTACCTCCTCCTCGGTGGTGCACTCGGGATCCGGATAGGGAGGCTTGCACTGGCAGAACAGGCCCTGGAAGTTCTAGTCGTCGTTGGAAGATTAGATCGTTAGATCACAATTTATCAAATCCGGACAACAGATTTCGGATTTCAGAAATACCCGTGCTGATGAAACGCCCTATCGTTGGGTTGGGAAATACGTAATGAGATCGTAAAACAAATAAACGAAATGTTGAATAAACATACGAATATTGCTGATTTAATCAGTTAACACTCACTAGTTTGATCGGATCCAACACCCTTACTCCACCTTCGGCTTTGCTTTTGCTATTGGGCCCAATATTTCAAATTCAATTGAATTCGTTTCAATTCCATTCAATTCGAATCAATTCAATTATTTGCATGTCTGGGCCGGGTTCCGAGCCGTGCCTTTGTTGTTCTCTCTCTCTCTCTCTCTTTCACTCTCTATCTCAGTGGACCCTTTGTCTTGGCCAACTCGCTAGCCATCATCGCTTAGCACATCATCGCTTAAATGTATGCATTGGCTTGCCGGCCAAGTATGCATAAAATATTTGACTGGAGATGGGTCAAGGTTGTCCCAAATTGATGGGCTCGGGCTCTGCTGACGAGGGGGGAAAGCCAAAGCACCCTCCCCCCGCACCACCAGTTGCTGAGCGAGCGCTATGGGAAAATAAGATATGTTTCTGTGGAAAACCTACTGCGGAAAGATGTCGCTATAAAGATGATTATACAACTATTAATCAGGTTCGATTAGAAATGCATGCTTTTCTGTTGTTTTTGTTTGTTGTTCGTTTTGATAGGAGATTGCTTTGAAAAGACTTTAAGAAGCTTTAATTCCCTCAAAGTGATTCCTCTTTTGAAGCACATGTTTACACGGTGTTTCATTAATCATCTATCGAATGAATCGAACAGCCAAAAGTCATTGAGTACTAGCCGAAATCAACAGCACAATATGATCTAAAATGAAGCAATATTACTCAACAGCTCCATTGCAAGGTAACTAGCACTATAAGAGGTATGTAAATGGTATCGATAGTCTTCTATTGCCATTGGAAAAGACATCCATATCGATGGCAGGGGCGGCACACGTTTTCCTGCCCGCCAGCTGTGTAAGCCCCCAAAAATATCTAGCCCCGGGACGGAGATGGGGAGATGGGAATCTGAGGCGACATGCTTATCAAGCATGTTTAATTCATGGCTTTGGCCCCTGACCCCTAATGAATACTAATGATAGATGTAATAATTTTCTTCTTCTCTTTGTTTTTGCAAATATTTATCAAACATTTGCGAAACGAGACGATACCACACTCGTATCACTCGTATGCAAAATGTGCGTGTGAAATCGAAATGCAGGAAATTGTCGGGCAGGGGGGGTTATGCAAGGTCCCGTCCCTATTCAAGAGCGAGAGAGAACAGATGACTGATGCGGCAGATGCCTGTTGGGAGAAGGCGTATTAATTACATCCGCCCTGGACGGAGAGTACGATCCGGTCCGGTCTCGTCTCAAAATCTGCATTTCTAGCGCTAACGCGAACGAAAGGCCGCAGCGCAGCGGCCAATCGATTGTGGCGCATGCAGCGGCAGCGGCAGCGACAGCGACAGCGAACCGAAAGGCCGAGCGCCGAGCACACGAGCCGATCACCGAACGAGCCCCGAAAACTCGAGTAATGCGATGGCGAGGAGGGAATTAGCGAAAGATGATGGAAGATCGAACATCGAAGATGGCCGGGGGGAGGGTGAGGGGAGGGACGGGAATGTCAATGAAGATGTGAATGAAGATGAGCAGCGACTAGTTTCGGGGTGGCCCCTGTATAAAATGCGTGCGCAGGTCAGGCTGGTCCATCATTGAACGGTTGGACATCGAGGGCTTAAGCACGACCAACGTGAAGATGAATGTAAGTGCCAAATGATAAGGATTGCCAGTGAAATCAGTGACACGTTTAAGGACCCAATATAGTGATCGATACAATACAATACATACATACATATATATATACAAGACACACATGTGTATATATTTTTTTTCTGTGATTATTTGCTGTGTTTCAAAACCGTTTTCGTTTTTTTTCCGTTTCGTTTTGGTTTCGTTTCCTGTGAAGTTCTTTGGCGCCTTCTTTGCGCTCGCCATCTGCGCGACCTGTGGATTAACCCAAGCGGATATATCACTCAAGCTCCGGCAGCAGCAACAGCAGCAGCAGCAGCCGCTGATCACCAAGGAGCAGTACTACAAGACGGGCGGCTTCCAGGAGAGCAATTACGGCAACTCCGGCTACCAAATCTTTGAGGTGCACAACCACTATCAGGGCAAGAACAACGCCTATCTGCCGCCCCACCAGGAGGTACACATTCAGCAGCAGGCCGCCCGTCCCCACCCCCACCCTTCCCAGGGACAGGTTCAGGTTCAGATCCAAGCTCAGGCTCAGGCTCAGGCTCAGACCCAGGTCCATAATGGGCCCCCTCTGGACGACAGTTTGGATGTGTCTTTCCTGAACTTTGCCGATCTGGGCCTGCAATCGCATGCCCAGGCTGCCCCAGTAGCTCCATCTGCTGCCCCCGTGGCAGTCTCTGTCTCTGCCCCCGCTCCAGCTCCAGTTCCAGCCCCTGCTTCCGTTTCCGTTTCCGTACCCTTCCCTTCAAGCTATCAGCATAACTTCCAGCGTACGCAGTCCCAGGCTGTCGCTCAGTCTTCCTCCTCTGTCTTTGGCGCCCAGCCCTATCTGCCCCCTACATCGTCCACGCCCATTGTCCAGCCACAGCAGCAGCAACAGCAGCAGCAGTACCCACAAGAGAGCTACGAGGCTCCAGGATACTTGCCCCCTGTCACCGCCACGGAAGTTTCAAACCCAGAGACCAACTATCGGGCACCCGACTATCTGCCTCCCACAGCCTCCTATCCGCAACAGCAGCAGCAGCAGCAGCAGGTCTATAGGGCTCCTGCCTACCTACCACCTGCTACCGGCACAGCTCCATCCGGCGTCGTGAGTACCTCTGGCACCACCTCATCCATCCAGGCCCACAGCACTGCCTCCAGCCAGGTTGACTACAGTGCACCCTCCTATCTGCCACCTCAGCAGCAGCAGCAAGTGCAGCAACAAGTGCAACAGCAAGTGCAACAGCAAGTCCAGCAGCAAGTGCAGCAGCAAGTGCAGCAACAAGTGCAGCAGCAAGTGCAGCAGCAAGTGCAGCAGCAACAGGCACCTGCAGTAGCACAGGAATATAATGCACCTGGATACCTGCCACCTGGCTACGACTTCGAGAATCCCGATAGGATACCACTATCGCTGATACAGTCCCAATCTGTTGCTCCTGTACAGAATGTTGCTCCAGTTCAGCAAGTGGCTCCGGTCCAGAGTGTGGCTCCCGTTCAGCAAGTTGTAGGCGACTACCGTGCTCCTGACTATCTACCACCCGGATACGATGAGCCCCAGCCTCAGCAGCAGCAGCCACAGACCCAGACGAACATCATCTACCAGCAGCAGCAGCAGCCTCAGCAGCAGCAACAAGTGTTTGTTGCATCCAGTCAGGCCAGTGTTGGCCCGAGCCAGCCCGTGGCCCTGCCTGACGGCTATGACTTCGTGAAGCCCGAGAATTCAGAGGCAGCCATTGCCGAGCTCCACAGCCTGCAGACCCAGACGAAATTGCTGAAGCAGCAGCAGCAGTTGCAACTGCAACAGCAACAGCAACAATTGCAGCAGGTGCAGCAGCAGCAGCAACAACAGCAGCAGCAGAAACAGATTGTGGTCCAATCTCAGTTGCAGGTATCCACGCAGCAGCAGGGATCCGATATTATCTATGGCCGACCAAAGTCGCAGCAGCAGCAGCAGCAGCTGGCGACAGGAGGATACCAGGTGCAGCAACAATACACTGCTCCCGGCTACCTGCCACCGTCCGGTGCCGCCGTTACTCTGCAGGCTCCAGCTCCAGTTGCCATTTCCATTCCACTGCCTTCTCCTGTACCGGCTCCCGCACCCGCTCACGCTCCCACGCCTGTTGCCATTGTCCGTGCAACATCGTCCGCCACAGCCAGTTACCGCACGCAACAGCAGCAGCAGCAACAGCAGCAGCAGCAACAGCAACAGCAGCAGCAACAGTACACGGCTCAAGGCTACTTGCCACCAGTGGCTATTGCTGCCGCTCCAGCTCCAGTTGCATCCCCACTGCCAGCTCCTGTCCCGGCTCCAGCACCAGCTGCAGCTCCAGCGCCAGTTGCCATTGTCCATGCCTCATCTACAGCCACGGCTTACCGAGGCCACCAGCAACAGCAACAGCAGCAGCAGTACAACGCTCCTGGCTACCTGCCCCCAGTGGCTGTTCGTGCTCCAGTGACACCTGCACTGCCCGCGCCGGCTCCCACCCAGATAACGCACATCCATTCGCTGAGGAGCTACATGAACACGGTGCAGCCATTCGCCCGCTATGCCCAGCCAGTGGCTGTCCGCCAGCAGCAGCATCATCAGCATTACCAGCACCGCCAACAGCAGCAGCAGCAGCAGCAGCAGGTGTTCGAGGTGGCTCCCATGTACCGCGAGCAGTCGAAGCGTCCCCGTTTCTATGCCCCGGCCATGTCCTATGTGAGCAACGCCCTGCCTCGTCAGCAGCACCACCTCCACCACCATTATCATCGCGTGGTGCAGGCACAGGCACAGTCGCAGGTGCAGGTGCAGCCCCGGCCCCGGCCCCAGGTGGTCACCCAAAAACTGCTGCCAGTCGGACCTGCCCCCACTCTGAGCCTGAAGGCGCAGCAGTCGCTGCAGAGGTTCATGCCCAAGGATGTCCAGGTGGCCGTGAACGTGGCTATGGCCGCGGCCCCCGTTCCCTCCCCCCACCGCGGCAGCTCCCGAGTGCGGACCGTGCAGATTGTCAAGCCGCATGCGGTGCGCACCTTCAAGGTACTGGAGACGATCGACCAGGCTGGCGTCAAGACGATCAAGATCCTGGGGGCCACCAACGAACAGCCCCAGGGGCATCATCACGTGGTCAAGGTGGTCACCCAGGATGCGCACAGCGGCACCGAGAGCCACGTGCAGACGGTGAAGATCTACGATGACCTGCAGTCATATGCCCAGCCGTCGGGAGCCTACGGTGGCCTTCGACTGGCGCCTCAGGCGGCACCCAGAAGCAATGGGTACCTGCCGCCGGTCGGAGGACCCCGTCCCAGGACCCGCATCGTGCGACAGACATCAGCCTCATCCTCATCCTCATCCTTCGGCAAGACCCTGCGCCTGTTCCCGGTACCCAGGGGGCTGTGAGGTGCGAAGGTGTCCAGGCCCGAAGGTGGAATGGAATGGAGACCAAGGTCGATCCGCTCTAGCACTGATTAGTTGTTAATTTCATCATCAACCGCTTATATTTTCGTTTTCGTTTATTGTTAATGCCATCGCTGCCTCATTTCGCATGCATTTTTGTTGAAATTATTTTGTTTCCCTCGATTCCCAGCCACAAGCCATGAGCATTTCCAATCCCAATCCCAATCCCCATCGCAATCGCAATCGGAGTCATTTGCATGCATAAGCGCAACAGCTTCCAACGAATCGAATTTCTTACCTAATAAATTTATATATATGTAAATAATTTGGTTGTTAAACTGTGACTAGAGTTGGGCGACCTGAGGGGGGGTGCGCTGCTCCGGGGTTGCTTGGGGTTCGCGTTGATCTGTGATCTGTTATTAGCCGGTCCCCAAAGGCGTGTCTGTCTGTGACCTTCGTTGTGGCATCTCTTGATGTATTTTCAATCGCTTTCCATCCGCTGCTTCCGCTCTCAGACTCTGAGTGAAAGGCCCGGCCTACACTCAGTCGTTCGACTATGCCACACACGAGTATCTGTACATATAATGCCTTCTTGATTTGTCAAAAAAGAAGGGCTTTAAGGCATTTGAAATTATGAAAGTAAGAGTTTGGGCTCAAGATTTCCATATATATATCATTTCAAAGGGATTTTCTGCAAGGTATACGATATTTTCCTGGCGTAGTCATACTTCAGGGGGATTTAAATTTGGTTAATGAATGTTAACAGCTTAGTAAACCCCAAGATTACATTACTCCCTTTGATTCCCTTAATGTTATACGAATCAAGGTCGCACAAGCCCGTTTAGTATGCAAATAGACCCAACCGGATCTAGGCCCTAACGTCATGTGGCAACGGACTCATCTACCGATTGATTGCACCGATGAATGGGCTCTGTTGGGACAACCTCTCATCGCCCGATGACATAAGCCCGCGCACACAATGAATTGGAGCTCAAACCCAAAACGAAACCCAAACAGAGAGACAGACGAACCCGTGACCGAGTTCGGTGTCGAACCCATAACTTACAATACAGATGATTGCTCAGTATACCACCCATTTCTGTTTTATTGATCTAAGCGACACGAAGCCAAGCCAACCTTAAAGCTAAACCTAAACCGGACGGGCGACAAAGTCCAGCCAGATGCCGCCCTTGTGGCATCCCACGAAGATGTACGGATCCAGCTCAAGGCCGTCGGCGGTGCGTGGATGGACCCGCACCTCGAACCGCTGCACGATGGCCGCCAGGGCGGCCTTTGCCTGGGCCAGGCCCAGACGCATTCCCACGCACTGGCGTGGCCCGTTCCCGAAACCCAGGAAGACGCCCATCTGCTTGAACCGCTTGAGTCCTCCGTCTAGAAAGCGTTCCGGCCGGAACTCCTCCGGCTCCGGGTAGAACTGCGGATCGTGATGGAGCCCGTATATGGGTATCATGATGTTGTCGCCCGGCAGCATCTGCAGCGGCTGGCTGTGGTGGCTGCCATGCAGCTTGTACGGTTCAGTGCAGGTCTTCGAGGCCCATCCGCCGGCTGGATAGATGCGCAGGCTCTCTGGGGAAAGGGGAACGTCATCGGGGTGAGTCATCGGTCTGATCTTCGGCACTCACCATTGAAGCAGGCACTCAGATAGGGCAGATCATTCAGCTCGTCCAGGTCGGGGAGCTCCTTCGAGGGACTGGCCTTGTCCAGCTCCTCGTACAGCCTCTGCTGGCACTCCGGATAGCGTCCCAGCTGTGAATGATTATCCCCCAATGATTATCCCTCGAACACTTGGCAGCACTTGTCAGCACTTGGCAGCACTTACCAGCAACAGACAGTGGGAGATGGTCGAGGAGGTGGTGTCCAGGCCGTCGAACATGAAGGTCATGGCATGCGAGGTGAGCTGCGGTTCGGTCAGGCCGTGATCCCGCTTCAGGGCCAGCAGGTGGTTGATGAAGTCGTTGCGCTCCTGGTGCTGGCCGCGCCTCAGTGAGAAGGCCTGGCGGATGAGGTCCCCGAAGAAGCGGTCGTAGGAGCGGGGAAAGATCTTGGGGCGCAGCCAGCGGGGCAGGCGGGGAAAGAGGCCGTTGAGGGCGCCGGCGATGGCCAGGCCTGGATTCTCGTTGGACATCTCCCGGTTGTGCCGGATCACGGGCAGCGGCGAGTCGCTGAAGCAGCGCGCCTGGATGCCCAGAACGCAGTCGAAGAGGCTGTCGCCGGTGAAGCGCAGCCCGAGCTGTAAGAACGGGAGAGGAGATTAGTTCACCCAGAGGCCAGCAGAGCCAGTGGCCAGCCCACATCCATGCCGTCCTGCGGCTCTCCCTTGAGCGACTCCTTGGCAATGAAGTCGCACAGGTCCCGGCAGACGCGCTGCATGATCGTGTGGGTGGTGCGGATGCGGCCGTTGGTCAGGAGGCTCGAGAAGATCCCGCGCTGCTGGCGCCACTCGTTCCCCTCCAGCACGAACGGATTGCAGCAGACGAGCACGTCCTTTCCGGTGTCCACCATGCGGGCGGCATCGTTGTCCTCAAAGTGGCGGAACGCACTGACGAACACCTCGTACACCAGGCGGGGCTCCAGCAGGAGCAGCTTCGGCGAGCGCAACAGGAAGGTGCCGACGTAGCTGTCCGTCTCCCGGTATTTCCTGCAGCAAAAGACGCATCATCCATCCCCTCTATCTTCTCGTCTCGTTGCCCCACTCACATGTACAGGTCCCTCATGTCCATGGTAAAGTGCTGGCGGGGCCACACCATGTTGGGGAAGGAGCCCAGCAGCGGCAGGGCCCTCGGCTCCTTGATGCCCCGTGCCCGCCAGTGGCCAAAGTTCCACACCAGAAAGCCATACACCAGCGTCGCCAATGCGCCCACAGCCAGCAGCAATGATCCAATCATGTCGGAGCTCTACGTATCACTGAACGGGAGAGATTTCAATCTGTGGCTGTGCTATTATTAGGGAGAATGGACTGGGGTGTTCTGCTTCTGGGGCTGATTCAGAATCTGATTCTGGCTCGGCATGCGTGCCGGCGATGTCGCAACGGAGCTCGTGGCGTGTGGCGTTTAGAATTGGACGGGAATGTGGACGGGGGCGGGCCCATTATCGAATTAGCTACAGAGCTTCTCTCATAACAGGCAAAGGTCAAAAATTGCATTGGATCCGCTTGGAAAGCGATCAACACTAACAAGACAATCCCAAAATCAGATTAATCTGCGATCGGAGACGATCTGGCTACCATGTCTACATCTTCGCACATATAGATGGACAGTAGGCAAGACTTGATCCCTCTACTACTGGATTCAGCCACTACTTAGCCAGCGCTTGTCCCGCTACTCCTACCAAAGATCGTTGAGGTCCTGGGGTTGGGCTTTACAGATCAAGGCGTGTCCCTCTCCAGCAGTCAGACGGCTCAATATCCCTCACATTAGATCAGATGTTCGGCCTATCAAGCTTTTCCACAACAATTCCACTGACGACAGACAAAGTATCTAAAGATAAAGAGATACATCATGCATGGATACCACTGCAAAGAAATTCGAATGAGGCTCGAGCTCCTCTAAATTGAGGTCCAAAACTAATAGGAATCTATAATAAGTTTGCGGAATACCCATTTTAGACCAATTTCCGACTTAAACTCTTTCTCGTTCACATGCCTTAGGTCCATACCATCTCGTAATTGAAACGATCTCAATGAACGAGCGGAGTAGAGGCACAGCTAATCCGTATACAGACTCGTACCTTGTGCCAATCAATCAAACAAGAAATCGCAACTCAATTTAGGGACTTGTCCAGTAGGCACTACTGGGGCATTGGGAGCCGTCCATCAATCATCGTTGACCATAAGTACATCCAAATGATTGATGATCTCCCAAGCATGCAAATCCCAGCTCCACTCGCCAATGACATTGACATTGTTGCGCAGGCAGACAGCTACAGCGACAGCCAAGGCGTAGCCAATTGATCTGAGCTCTGAATACTGAATACGAGTATACTCGCATGGAAAGCCCTGGACAGCCACTCTCTCATGTGGTCATGGACACGATCGTTGGGTTTCATTTAAGTCGCGATAGTCGCGAGAGTCTCAACAGTGGCTCCCACTCCCTGCAACTCTATCATAACTCTAAGAACACCACGATTATAATAGAATATACATTTTTCTTCTGGAACATCTCGTGAAACGTCCTCTTACGATCCCAACAAGGTATGGGTATTCGGGTATTTAAGGGTATTCAGGGTATTCACGAGTATTTATTAGGGTGTAATTAGTGAACGGATCTCCGATCCGATCGGATCTTTCCCTTAGCTCACAGATGACTTTGGATTAAATCAGCTCTCACGCCTGAATCCCCTTTGGATCACTTGAACATCACGTGGTTTTGCAGCAGTTGCAGGATTCGCTCCTCCGGTGCCGCCCATCTGCAGTAAGGATACTTGGAGGCGCAGTGAGATGGTCTGGGATCCCTGCCGGCCTCAATGGCCTCGCGAAGTGTGGACTGCTCCAGCCAGGTGAGGAGCCAGGTCCAGTTGGTGGCCGCATCCAGCACGTGGTCCATGTCGGAGGCCTGGCTCCTCCGCACCCTGTCGCTCGCCTTGAAGGTCAGCGTGCAAAGGGACTTGAGAAGGCAGGCGGAGAGATCGACCTCGTTCTTGAAGTACGCTCGCTCCACTGTGCTGATCACACTCGGAAGGCTGCTTTCTGTCAGAGGGAAGGGGAGGGGGAAGGATATTAATGCGGGGAAGAGTACTGCGAGCAAGGACGAGGAGGACCTACCCACTCGCTCGCCTGTTTCGTTGTGGTAAACGAGCTTGAAATTCTCGAACAACTCGAGGAAGCTCCGGTCCTTGTCCAAGAGACCGCGAGCCGTGGCATTGTGCCCGGCCTCGGATGTGGCCGGTGCTTCCTCCTCCGAGGACTTTGGCCTCCCACTCGAGGGGGGCTCATCCTCGGTGATGGCCTCCAGACCCATGCTGCGGATCAGGTGTCCAACGAGGAGTCCCCCGGCTGCCACGAGTCCGCAGCTGAGCACGGCCGCGGAATTGATTATGACCAGGGGCTGAAAGACGGACGCCGAAGAAGTACAATTCGAGGGACAGGTCCGGTCAGGTCAGGTCAGGACGGGAGTAAGCCTACCTTTGGTGGTGCATTGCGTTTCCGCTTGACGGGCACCTCCAGGAAGGGCACCAGGTAGTCCAATCCCAAGGCAACGTGCTTGCCCACAGCGTCGAAGGAAATCAGCTTGAATCCGGGACTATGCTGATTGTGCGGACTGTGCGGATTATGCTGGCTATGCGGATTATGCTGATTCTGCTTTGGGAGCCTCGAGTCCCGTCCATGTTCACTCGAGGCGGATCCCTTTGGCTCCTCTTCCGCTCCCGCTCCTACTCCCACTTCCTCACTGGCAGCCCAGATCAGGGCACAGTTTGTCAGGAGAGCGCAGAGGATGTGCAGCAGCTTCATTGTTTCCGCTGGGGGCTCCGTTCGACTGCGAAGCTGGCAGGCATTTGGAATCCAATTCCCATATTTCGCATATTTTGAGCTGCAGCAGACCCGTGGGTGGCTCTGGTTCGGTGGATCACATGTGGGCGGCTTGTCTTGTGCTTGCTCCGGCGAGTGCCGCTTGGCTGCCTCTTGGCTACGATAATTGGGCCTGCCCTCGGTCTAGCTCCCGATCTTCTGCTTGTCACACAAACTGCAACAAAGTGCTTCTGTGACATAAGTAAGTGGAAGGCGCGAAAGCGATTAGCTGGAGAAAGAGTGGGGCCTCACACACACCTCACACGAAAGCGGAAATACGAGTCCGCTGCTACCTTCGCTAATTGGAAGAGAGGGAGAGATTTAAATGGCTCCAATTCTAGGCATTCCCATTACATAAGATCGAGAAATAACTCCGAGCTGCAAGGCTAGTGTTTCATGATCGGGTACCCGCTTTTATTGGCATATCACTGGCAAAAGCAAGGCAAATACAGAGGCAAAAGCCGCTAGCAACAATAAATAAATATAACTTAACAACAGCATAAAAAAAATAGTTAAATAAACGGCTAATAGGATTGGGATACGAGTGCCTCAACCGTTGAAGTACTGCAGGACTTTTGGCAACGTCCGCGAGGTCCACAGCGAGTAGCGGGGCTTCCCGAGAGAGGGCCGAGGAGGAGGCCATCTACATCTCGCGTAGGTGTAGGCACAGGTCCGACTGCCTCGCGCCGTTTCGACGGCATGGCGAACCGCAGTGTCTTTGGTGAGGGAATCCAGCCAGGGAGAGCTGAGAGAGCCAGAGAGAACCAGAGAGAGCCAGGGAGAACCAGTCAGGTATCAATAGGGAATGGAGAAATGGGGAAATGGGGAAACGGCACTGGACGAATGAAGCTTACGAACCTGGCGACCACGTGGAGAGCCCGCGCATAGCTCGGGGAAACACTGTGCTGCAGGTACTGGCAGATGTAGCGCTGGGCACAGGCGGACACGTCCATGTTGTGCTCCTCCAGGTGGGACTCCACAGCGTCCGTTAGGCTGCGCACTGTCAGGGAGAACGAAGACGAAGACGAGCACTTGAGACCTGCTTCTGGACTACGCCGCCCACGACTTGCCACACTTACTGCCTCTGGCGGTATCCGATCTGTAGCCGTATCCGTGTCCGTGTCCGTTGCCCAGCGACGTGATCACCAGCGGAGCCAGGAGCAGGCGCACCACGGCTGCAATGACAGCTCCTGCAGCCACCACAACCGCCGTGTTGAGCAGCGTTCCCGTGCGCAGGTTCAGGAGGTTCTGCACGGCGTCGCGGGCCAGGCCCATGCTGCGCTTCACCGGCACCTTCAGGAATGGCACGATGAACTCCAACTCGACGCTGACATCCTCGCCGCTGGCATGAAAGTGGAAGCCACGTCCCTCCCGCCCCACGCCAGGCAGGCCCATATCCATCCCCATGTCCATCTCCGCATCCATCTCCTCCGCGAAGGCCTCGTCCAAGTGTCGCCCTTGCTGGCGGGGCTCAAAGTCTCGGAAGCGCAGAAGCTTCGCACTCGCATTGCCGTAGAAGTCTCCATTGACACTTTCTCCGCAGTAGCCCAGCAGCAGACCAGCAAAGACCGTCAACGAGCCCACCAAGTACAGTATCTGCACCAGCCACATTCCGTCAGCTCGTGTTGCCGTCGCAGCGGTTGGAAGGTGTATGATCGCATGATCGCATGACGGCATGGTCGCATGGTCGGGGCTCCGGCACTCTGTCTGGGAATTACATGCCCGACGATCCGGCAATCAAGATATGATATTCATTTAATCCGAATATGAAGCGTACAAGAAAGGCGCGACTTTAGTGCCTCCGAGGGCTGGGGAGGGCTGGGAGGAAAAGGAGATATGCGGCCTGCCTGGCGCACCGATTGATCGAATGATGAACAGCTAAGGACAACCCGAGAAACTAAACAGACTGCCAGAAATGACTCAACACGTCCCCCTTTCCCCCTCACGTACACGTGCTTCTGATGGAGCAGCGCCAACAGGCCGCAACGGAAACCCAAGGGGTGGGTAACTGGAGTAAACTCGACTTATTATTAGAAAGACATTTGCAGGCGACTATGGGCTGGAAAATTTGCATATTCTGCACAGTCAACTCCGGAGCACTTGGGGCCCCACTCCACCTCCAGCTCCACCTCCAGCTCCACCTCCAGCTCCACCTCCTTCTCCACCACCAGCTCCAAGTTATGTCACCTCTGCCGCCGACAGTGCGACAAAGGTTAGTTAAACAGGCTGCCGGCATTAAGCGTTAGGCAATGGCCCAACGGTACCCAATAATCGCGTAGGTGGATGGAGCACAGTCACTTATGGAGCTCCATTCCTGGGGCCAGATAAACAGATCGGAGCCTAGCAGAGCGGCAAAGGTTGGACAAACAAATGGGGGATGTGCCCCGTCCCAACGGAGTGTGCCAATGGGAACATAGGGATCCCTTGAGCAGTTGATAAGGTCTGCGTATGAGGCAGACGATTCGGATCTCAGCGTAGGATTCCCGAAGCAGAGCCTTAGTGAATTATATTACCTGTTTTTTTTTTTGTATTCAGTATGCAATATTTAATAGTTCTGCCCCTGGGACCAATTACAGGAGCTCAGTCTCGGAGGACATCCCGCACGAGTGAGGGACCATCATCGCCATCACCCAAAAACACATTCATTTATTTACACGAACAGATGGGATCGATATTATAATATATATAGTAAGGATATGCAACAACATGAAGCACTAAATTAACCAAGTGAGAAGACGCGTAGCAGAAGCCATAGAAATCATAGAAGCCATAGAAGGCAAAAAAGGCTATTATGTCAGCCTGAAGGCCTTGTTGCTCTGTCTGTAACCATTCAATTGGGGAACAATCCAGCCCTGGGATTATGCAGATTTCGCCTCGTACGTCTCTCTGCTTTCGAGGATCGAAGGACCATCGCGACTCATAGCTTTCTCCATGACCTTTTAGTGGGTAACATCGACAGCCCTGACTTGCTTAGAACGAATGGGTGCGCCTTTATGGTCGATCGCCACCGGACCGACTATGGCAATAATGAGGCAACATACGTGTATGTAGGGCGGAAAGAGCCGTCAGACGGTTGCCCACAGATCCTCTCCATCTCCCGATATCACCATACGCCCTGGAGCCTCCATAGCCTCCATGCCATGCCCATGGCAGAACTGCTCAAGGGATCCCTATGTTCCCATTGGCACACTCCGTTGGGACGGGGCACATCCCCCATTTGTTTGTCCAACCTTTGCCGCTCTGCTAGGCTCCGATCTGTTTATCTGGCCCCAGGAATGGAGCTCCATAAGTGACTGTGCTCCATCCACCTACGCGATTATTGGGTACCGTTGGGCCATTGCCTAACGCTTAATGCCGGCAGCCTGTTTAACTAACCTTTGTCGCACTGTCGGCGGCAGAGGTGACATAACTTGGAGCTGGTGGTGGAGAAGGAGGTGGAGCTGGAGGTGGAGCTGGAGGTGGAGTGGGGCCCCAAGTGCTCCAGAGTTGACTGTGCAGAATATGCAAATTTTCCAGCCCATAGTCGCCTGCAAATGTCTTTCTAATAATAAGTCGAGTTTACTCCAGTTACCCACCCCTTGGGCTTCCGTTGCGGCCTGTTGGCGCTGCTCCATCAGAAGCACGTGCGTGAGGGGGGAAGGGGGACGTGTTGAGTCATTTCTGGCAGTCTGTTTAGTTTCTCGGGTTGTCCTTAGCTGTTCATCATTCGATCAATCGGTGCGCCAGGCCTGCCTATCTGCATATCTCCTTTTCCTCCCAGCCCGCCCCAGTCCGCCCCAGCCCTCGGAGGCGCTAAAGTCGCGCCTTTCTTGTACGCTTCATATTCGGATTAAATGAATATCATATCTTGATTGCCGGATCGTCGGGCATGTAATTCCCAGACAGAGTGCCGGAGCCCCGACCATGCGACCATGCCGTCATGCGATCATGCGATCATACACCTTCCAACCGCTGCGACGGCAACACGAGCTGACGGAATGTGGCTGGTGCAGATACTGTACTTGGTGGGCTCGTTGACGGTCTTTGCTGGTCTGCTGCTGGGCTACTGCGGAGAAAGTGTCAATGGAGACTTCTACGGCAATGCGAGTGCGAAGCTTCTGCGCTTCCGAGACTTTGAGCCCCGCCAGCAAGGGCGACACTTGGACGAGGCCTTCGCGGAGGAGATGGATGCGGAGATGGACATGGGGATGGATATGGGCCTGCCTGGCGGGGGGCGGGAGGGACGTGGCTTCCACTTTCATGCCAGCGGCGAGGATGTCAGCGTCGAGTTGGAGTTCATCGTGCCATTCCTGAAGGTGCCGGTGAAGCGCAGCATGGGCCTGGCCCGCGACGCCGTGCAGAACCTCCTGAACCTGCGCACGGGAACGCTGCTCAACACGGCGGTTGTGGTGGCTGCAGGAGCTGTCATTGCAGCCGTGGTGCGCCTGCTCCTGGCTCCGCTGGTGATCACGTCGCTGGGCAACGGACACGGACACGGATACGGCTACAGATCGGATACCGCCAGAGGCAGTAAGTGTGGCAAGTCGTGGGCGGCGTAGTCCAGAAGCAGGTCTCAAGTGCTCGTCTTCGTCTTCGTTCTCCCTGACAGTGCGCAGCCTAACGGACGCTGTGGAGTCCCACCTGGAGGAGCACAACATGGACGTGTCCGCCTGTGCCCAGCGCTACATCTGCCAGTACCTGCAGCACAGTGTTTCCCCGAGCTATGCGCGGGCTCTCCACGTGGTCGCCAGGTTCGTAAGCTTCATTCGTCCAGTGCCGTTTCCCCATTTCCCCATTTCTCCATTCCCTATTGATACCTGACTGGTTCTCCCTGGCTCTCTCTGGTTCTCTCTGGCTCTCTCAGCTCTCCCTGGCTGGATTCCCTCACCAAAGACACTGCGGTTCGCCATGCCGTCGAAACGGCGCGAGGCAGTCGGACCTGTGCCTACACCTACGCGAGATGTAGATGGCCTCCTCCTCGGCCCTCTCTCGGGAAGCCCCGCTACTCGCTGTGGACCTCGCGGACGTTGCCAAAAGTCCTGCAGTACTTCAACGGTTGAGGCACTCGTATCCCAATCCAATTAGCCGTTTATTTAACTATTTTTTTTATGGTATTGTTAAGTTATATTTATTTATTGTTGCTAGCGGCTTTTGCCTCTGCTTTTGCCAGTGATATGCCAATAAAAGCGGGTACCCGATCATGAAACACTAGCCTTGCAGCTCGGAGTTATTTCTCGATCTTATGTAATGGGAATGCCTAGAATTGGAGCCATTTAAATCTCTCCCTCTCTTCCAATTAGCGAAGGTAGCAGCGGACTCGTATTTCCGCTTTCGTGTGAGGTGTGTGTGAGGCCCCACTCTTTCTCCAGCTAATCGCTTTCGCGCCTTCCACTTACTTATGTCACAGAAGCACTTTGTTGCAGTTTGTGTGACAAGCAGAAGATCGGGAGCTAGACCGAGGGCAGGCCCAATTATCGTAGCCAAGAGGCAGCCAAGCGGCACTCGCCGGAGCAAGCACAAGACAAGCCGCCCACATGTGATCCACCGAACCAGAGCCACCCACGGGTCTGCTGCAGCTCAAAATATGCGAAATATGGGAATTGGATTCCAAATGCCTGCCAGCTTCGCAGTCGAACGGAGCCCCCAGCGGAAACAATGAAGCTGCTGCACATCCTCTGCGCTCTCCTGACAAACTGTGCCCTGATCTGGGCTGCCAGTGAGGAAGTGGGAGTAGGAGCGGGAGCGGAAGAGGAGCCAAAGGGATCCGCCTCGAGTGAACATGGACGGGACTCGAGGCTCCCAAAGCAGAATCAGCATAATCCGCATAGCCAGCATAATCCGCACAGTCCGCACAATCAGCATAGTCCCGGATTCAAGCTGATTTCCTTCGACGCTGTGGGCAAGCACGTTGCCTTGGGATTGGACTACCTGGTGCCCTTCCTGGAGGTGCCCGTCAAGCGGAAACGCAATGCACCACCAAAGGTAGGCTTACTCCCGTCCTGACCTGACCTGACCGGACCTGTCCCTCGAATTGTACTTCTTCGGCGTCCGTCTTTCAGCCCCTGGTCATAATCAATTCCGCGGCCGTGCTCAGCTGCGGACTCGTGGCAGCCGGGGGACTCCTCGTTGGACACCTGATCCGCAGCATGGGTCTGGAGGCCATCACCGAGGATGAGCCCCCCACGAGTGGGAGGCCAAAGTCCTCGGAGGAGGAAGCACCGGCCACATCCGACGCCGGGCACAATGCCACGGCTCGCGGTCTCTTGGACAAGGACCGGAGCTTCCTCGAGTTGTTCGAGAATTTCAAGCTCGTTTACCGCAACGAAACAGGCGAGCGAGTGGGTAGGTCCTCCTCGTCCTTGCTCTCAGTACTTTCCCCCGCATTAATATCATTCCCACTCCCCTTCCCTCTGACAGAAAGCAGCCTTCCGAGTGTGATCAGCACAGTGGAGCGAGCGTACTTCAAGAACGAGGTCGATCTCTCCGCCTGCCTTCTCAAGTCCCTTTGCACGCTGACCTTCAAGGCGAGCGACAGGGTGCGGAGGAGCCAGGCCTCCGACATGGACCACGTGCTGGATGCGGCCACCAACTGGACCTGGCTCCTCACCTGGCTGGAGCAGTCCACACTTCGCGAGGCCATTGAGGCCGGCAGGGATCCCAGACCATCTCACTGCGCCTCCAAGTATCCTTACTGCAGATGGGCGGCACCGGAGGAGCGAATCCTGCAACTGCTGCAAAACCACGTGATGTTCAAGTGATCCAAAGGGGATTCAGGCGTGAGAGCTGATTTAATCCAAAGTCATCTGTGAGCTAAGGGAAAGATCCGATCGGATCGGAGATCCGTTCACTAATTACACCCTAATAAATACTCGTGAATACCCCGAATAACATTCTCTTTGGGGGATGGTTGGAGTTACAATTTGCTGAGTTTTTTTGGGTATAGCAAAGCTAAAGATTTGGCAATATCTTTTTGGGGATGGTAAATGGGATTCGAAAAGCATTGAGGCCCTCGCAAAAGATGAGATCGACAATCACATCCCCAAGATCCTGGGGTAGACACTATGGACTGCAGCGTCAGAGCGACCAGTGAAGTGCCAAGGCATGCACCTATATGTTCATAGCTCTTCCGGAAGTGCCTAGAAGAGAGCAATCGATCCAAAAAGGTATACAATCTTCATTCCACAGAAGTTGGCTTGTAATAATTTTGTAAAGAGTAACAAGAAGGTGAGGGCTCAGAGTGAGGTCAGGCCCGACCGGACGTCGCCCGAAGACAGCTGCAGGTTAGATCCACCTTGCCTTGACTCGACCGGGATGCAGACAGGACAGAAAGGACGGGCAGAGCTTAAGCCTAAGAAATCTGTATACATATCACTAGAAAGATATTCCCAGAAAGAGATTCCACTCCAGATACATACGAGTACTTCATACGAAACGATTCCAGAGCGGTTCGAATAGAATCTCAGCCCAACGCCCTTCCAGATTTCAAACACACAGAGCTCTGTAGTTTATGCATTTATTTATATGTATAATATGATGAAATCAATTCGGAAATTAATCACTCAAAATGAATTCTATGACACTTTTGGTTATACAAAGGGGTTTTTAAAAAAAGTTTCATTTTTTTTGTTGTTGGGTTTCTTGTGTACATAATTCTCATTTAACTAAAGGGAACGAAGACATGCGACATGAAATTAGCATCAGATTGGATGTACATATATCCAACTATATATATACATATGTATATGTATTCATGTATATATGGGTAGAGGTTTAAGTAAATTGTCAGCCAATTTCATGCTTTTAGGTATGTAAATATATGTGCACGTGTATGCAATTACATATGCAGATAAGGATCAGTTGTCGGCGCCTTAACTTAGGTCTCTTAATGTTTTGAAATCGAAATACAAAGTGAAGACAATAGTAGTACAAGTATAAAAAATATTCTTCTCCTTGGTTTTCCTCGTTTTTGTGGGCAACATCTTACTTCTGGGTTTATATCAAAATATATGCACATGTATATGGTATGGTATGTATGGTAGATTCGACCCAAGACCGATCGATCTACGACATCCTCAACCTGGCCAGCAGTGGTGTGTCTGTGTATTATGTATATTGTTTGATTACTCGATTCGATTTGACTGGATTTGATTTTTAGGTGGAAACAGGAAGAGGCAACAAGAGTGCTTACATATTTGTGGATAGAATTATTCTGTATGCTAGTCTCTAAATATATCATGTATGTGTATGTACCATCTATATATCTGTTTGATTACAAAAATATTGTATATTGTATACATATATATAGTATGTCCCCTGCCTGTCTGGATTGCTTTGCGAGTTTGAACTGTTTCAAAAATATTTATTTTCTTCTTTTTTTTTGTTTGGGAAGTATTCTCCGATGATGGGTGCACCAATATTGGAAACAAAAATATATATACGTGCGTACATACATCTGTATATGGATATGTTTTGCAGTTATAGTTAGTTTTTAGTTTTCTTATTTTTTTTTTTTTTTTGGGATTTAGTATGTGGTGTGAATTTTGGCATATGTCGTTTTGGAATGAAGTTCTGTTTGGGAATCAAACAAACAAAATATAATGATGTATGCTGAAGGCAGAATCAAGACTTGGAATCGGTAGTCGGTGAGGGTATATCTCATATATTATATGTATGTGAAGGCTCCACTTTTGCCTTGTATCGTTCCGCAGAGCTATCATCATATGTATATCTGTTCAGATAGATGTTTGCTTCATGTATGTATATATGTATATCAAATATAGAAAAGTATACAAAACTATGTGACTACTTAATGCAATTAGAAACGAAGAAGAACATTTGAAATCGTTTTCGAATCGAATTTCTGGCATAGGAGCATAAGAAGCATTCCGTTCCTTAGTCTCTAGGGTAAGTAAATGGATTTATTATTCCTACAATATATGTATGTATAATGTATAATGTATATATGGTTCATGGTTCATGGTTCATGGTTCATGGTTATTTCTTTCTTGATCTCTTGTTGCCATTATCATTGTTTTTAATTAGATAGATTTAATATTGTAATGTAATTCTTTCTTCACTCACATTTTTTGTTAAATTTTATTTTAAATATCACGGCATTCAGCTGAGGTCTGATCTGATCTATTTATTACGCTTCTATATATTTTATGTTTCAACACTTTTCGTTTTGTTGCTTTTGCATTTCACAATGGTTGGTTACAGATACATATAATCGGGACACACTCGTCCAATTCATATGTTATACAAAAAAAAAAAAGCTAAAAAAAGGTAGTGTCTGTGGAGAGGCTTTCTCCGGTTGCGGCCATGGACTAAATAATGGACTATAAGAGACGCCGCGGGTTATGCCAATGCCAAACAGAATTAAACTAGACACAGATAGACAAATTATGACAAAGATACGAAGATACAAAGATACCGATACCGAAACAGCTGCAAAAGGGTTCACAACGAAAAGGAGCTAAAAGATCTAGGGCCAGGACCTTTGTTTAGGGTTCCTCGACTGCATTGGGCTGAAGGATCTGCATCTGCGCACACAGGCGCCGCAAGTAAAAGCTGCCACCGATCCTGTGCAGGAGTCTTCGCTGGGCGGTCGGCCTCTGCATTAACTCTCACAAATTCCGTCTGCGCATCGACCTCTCCTCCAGGCCCTGATCCACCGCCTCATCGTCGCCCTCGTCCACCGCATCCAGATCGACTTCCACCTCCAGCTCGGTGTCTGGCTGCGGTCCAGCTGCGGCGGCTCTGGTGGCTCTAGTCGCCGCCGTGCTCTCGCTGAAATGCATCAGGTTGGTGTCCATCAGGCCCAGGCCGTTGGTGAGGCTGAGTGGCGGCGAGGACTGCGAGGGCGGTCCCTCCAGCGAAAGGCGGCTGTTGGTGCTGATGCTGCTCATGCTCAGCTGGTCGTCAAACACCTCGATGTTCACCACCGTCGACAGTTCGCCGCCATCGTAGGACACCTGGGTCACCTGGGTGGCCTTTGGGGGCGGCTGCTCGGCTCCAGCCAACGAAGAATCAACTGCAGACTCATGGGATCTCTGGGATTTATAGTGATTGCCAATGGCACTGGCATTTACATTGGGATTTACATTGTTGGGCTTGTTGATGCCGCCCTTGCCTGGTGAGAAGATTATATTGTTGTTGTTGTTATTGTTATTGTTGTGTGACAATCCATCCAGCTGGTCCTTGGTAAAGTAATTGGCTGTGGAATACAGAGAATGTGGAGAGTGGAAGCATGTGATTAGAGCCAGGATATAGGCAGATATGTGTGTATACTAGATCCCATCCGATATAGCAAATGTTCTCGACGGCCTTTTGGTTGTTTTTAACTAAAATTGCATTTATTTAATCGTACATTAATTCATTAAAAATAAATTTGAGTGTTTAGCGATTCCTCTTGCTCTCCATCCACAATCCATCGTCTCTACGCTCCTCTTACTCTTACTCTCAATCGTAAATCATAAATACTGCCAGTTCGATTTTATATATTTCTTTTTCATACAATACGATATATATATATACAGAAAACAAAATACGTCTGATGTCCTTCCTACAGACAAATATTAAACAGAAACAGAAACAGAAACAAGGGACAAAAAATTACACAAATCCTAACGATTCTTCGAAATTCAATAAATTAACACGAAACTAAAAAAGAAACCGTCTTGAGAGTGGGATGGGGCGGGGGTTGAGGGTGGCAGTTGGGTGTTGGGTGAAAGCTTCAACAATTGGGTAGAAAACTTAACGAAAGTCAATCTTGGTGACACGGCTGGAAAGCGCCAGTACAATGTCTGGGAATTCTGTTCTTCAACTGTGGCCATGGATTTGTTTACTCTCGCCTTATGTATCTTAAATGTACATCAGCATCGATACATCAGAAATATATTGATGGGATCGCTCGCATCGGATCTGTAGCGTATATAAAATCATTGCTGAACATATCGATATCGAACAAATTATCGATAAACCGTTTGGTATATTTGAGAAGGATACCTTTCGATGGAGAGTCCTAGTGGAACGAAGCTTGTACAGCATGAAACGTCTGTCTGGTAGCGTGAGGGGTTTGGGGGGGTGTGGCAGGGGGCAGGAGTATTTGGATTTCATGGCATTACAGACTATTGCGTATTTATTACAATCTTCTTCTTTCTTTCTTTTTTTCTTGGGCCTTAGTACTTTCTCTGGGCTTCTTTCTCTTTCTCTTGGGTATTTTGGTTGTATGTACAATTATTCTGGGAGAGCCTTTTCGCAATTCTATTGTGTTTTAAGCCTAGGCCTTTACATATAGCGTACATATAAGTGTGTGTGGTTGTGTGTGTGTGTGTATACAACATATATATATATACATATATGTTTATTGTTTTCCGTTTTCAAATATATATAGCTAACAATATAACTTTGCACTTAAAAATGGTTAGTAATCAATTGTTGTATATTTTTTTTGTCTTGCTTTTTGTCCAAACGAATCTCTACAGATGTAAATTTCTTTTGTTTTGATTTTTTATCGTTTTTTTTTTTAAATTATTTTTTACAATTAGTTTTTGTTGGTGTTTTTGTTTTGTTTTTCTTTTGATAATCACAATTTTTTTTGTATAGAGTTTTGTGTTTTCTTGTGTTTTTTTTTTGTCGTTTTGTTTGTTGCTTTTGTGGAGGATATTTTGCTGGCAAACCGCTAAAGAATTAAGCTAGAATCTGTCGTGGTTGGGTCCTCTCGGAGTTGGGAGAAGGGGGAACGGTGTGTCATCTG